ATTAATATTAGTTCTTTTACCTGTTATAACTTCGATATCCGATAAATCGGTATAAAATCATCACCGGCACCTCTAGGTGTGGTATACGGCTGCATGTATCGCGTGAGCGGATAAGACAATTTTTTATAGATATTTTTATTATTATTTAGTAGCAGTAGAGCCTTTGAAAGAGTTCGTCCAGAGACGTACTGCCACCTTACCTACTTCTGTTGCCAACCAGTAATGTGAACGTCATTGGGTTCCGGTTTTGAAGGGTAAGGTTGTTGGTGACAATACAGGTACATAGGACTTGTCAACTTATGTCTCAGGGTGACGGGCGCAGTGTGATGGGCTATTTATTCGAATACCCTACCGATCAGGCGTCAAAAACGATATTGGTTAAGTTCAGGCTGAGCACAATGTTGTCGCAATTTTTCTAATTTTCTTAGCGAAAAACAGGGCGGTTTTTGTTTTCAATTTTGTGACACTGTTGAAGCCGGTGTGCGTGTACAGGATATATGAGGAGACGAGACGCGTCGTACGAATACTAGTGTTGTACTATAGGAACTGAAAGAATTTGTCCAGGGAAGAACTGCCGCCTTACTGATTTCTGCCGCCTAATGTGAGTATTGGTGCGTTCCGGTTTTGAAGGGTAAGGGTGCTGGTGACAATTCATTCACATGGGACTTGTAAAGTTATGTCTCAGGATAACGGGCGCAGTGGCAGTGCCCTTCATATCTTTACGATTGAAAGACTTTAATGGCACTGCAACTGTTATGGGCAGACGTATCGCCTTTTTTAACTAGTTGCAAAAACCGCACGGACATGGTGTGATGTCAAAAAATCGTAGACAAAGCTAACATTCTTGTTCTTATATTCTCGAGGTAGAGTACTGACTCTATGTCGTTTTTAATACTTACAGTACATTATGAGAATATGTCGTAAAAGTAGAGCTCCTCTTAGACTATTTCTGCCACCAAGCAGTAATGTGAGCAATAACTGCGGTTCGGTGCTGGTGAAACTACAAGTGCATGGGACTTGCCAACTTATGTATCAGGGTGACGGGTGCAGAGGCAGTACTCCTCAGATCTTTCTGATTTAAAGCTCTGGGTGGCATTGCGATTGTGATGCATAAGCGTGTCGCGTAGACGCACGACTTGTTCGTGCCGTCTCTTGGTATCATAAAAAAAATGCAAACATCTTCTAAAAATGAAAATATCTGACGGGCACTGCCACTGCGCCTGTCACTCTGAGATATAAGTTGACAAGTCTCATGTGCCTGTAATTTCGTCAGCACCATTACTCTTCAAAACGCACACCGTAATGCACACATCAGTGCTTGGCGGCAGAAATAGGTAAGGCAGTACGACATCTTGCACAAGAAGCTCTACTGCTGCTACTTAACACATGGACAGCAGTTAACAATGCTGGTAGCGACAATTAAGGAAAAAAGTTTTCTCGGGTAACTCTAGCTCTCGGAGTTGTCGTTACTCTAATACTCGTAATGCATGGGATCTCCTAGTTTGAGGCCAGATAGACTATGTATTAATTTATTGTTTTGCTTCTTAGTAATCTATCTTATACCATCGATCTTTAGTTCTATATTTTCTTGTTTCGGCGAGGATAGTGCATCGATTGATGATTTACATATCATCCGTTTCCCCACTAACTCCCGTTACTGATATTTTTATCGTAGCTCAGCAAGACGTAGGACCTCACTGAGCTTTCAAAAGCAAACATTCTCCATTAATCATCATATATGTACCTTTTCACACATGATAGAAGGAAATTCACACGATTTTCAGCGAAAATACGTGGGCAAATATAGGAAACTTTCTTCAGGCAATAAATACTAGAGTTAATTGTTTCATGAATAACATTTGGTCAACTTGATCAAAAAGTGGTGGATGTCGTTTGCCATAGATTTTAAAATTCTGCGTAGATGCGACATTGTGACGTACGAACAGATACCTACAAGATCACGTGACAGTTAATTCCTAGGTAAGTCGTCTTATCAACAAAGTCATTTAAACCAATAGGTAAGTAATAAAAATGTATAGAGCGAACGTGGATGAAAACGCAGGGAAAGACGGCCTCGGCCATCATATGTCAACCAGATTAAGGATGTCGTTAAAAAGCCAGGTCATAAGCATTACGGGTAAATGGGTGTGTACGAAAGGACTGATATGAGGGGAGGAAGTAAAAGAGAAATGTCAGCAGTAGACATGTGCGCAGATCGTAAAATCTATCTATATCTATCGTCGACGTCTGATTGATTTTCGACCGACAACGGCGGCGTGATGAACGTGGTATATATATATATATATATATATATATATATATATATATATATATATATATA